AAATCTAACTTGCCCTATAGGCAGTAGGAGGGAAAAGGGGAAAGAAAAGGGTGGGGGGAAGAAAGGGAGGAAGAAGCAGTAAGACTAAAGGGAAGAAAAGGGAAAGGGATAATAAAAGGGGAAGGACTGAAGGAGGGGTGGTCAAAAGCAAAACACTAGTGAAGGGGGTAAGGAAAAAGGAGAAAGAAAAGCATAAATGGGGGAAAAAGGATGGAGAAAAAGACACAGATAGTAATCATAACTGTGAATGTGAATGGGATGAACTCTCCCATAAAATGGAAATGGATTGCAGAATGGATTAAAAACCATAATCCTACAATATGTTGTTTACAGGAAACACATTTGAAAAAGAGTGACACATACAGGGTAAAGGTAAAAGGCTGGAGCAGAATATATTATGCATCAGCTGAAGTAAAAAAAGCAGGGGTAGCAATCCTGATCTCAGACAAAGCAAAAGCAAAAATAGATCTAATCAAAAGAGATAAGGAAGGAAACTACATCCTGCTAAAAGGCACCATAGACAATGAAGTAATATCATTACTAAACATATATGCACCAAATGGTATAGCATCCAAATTCTTACAGGAGAAGTTCAGGGAGTTACAGGAAGAAATAGACAGCAAAACTATACTAGTGGGGACCTGAACCTCCCCCTCTCGCACTAGATAAGTCTAACCACAAAATAAACAAGAAAGAAGTTAAGGAGGTGAAAGTTAGGTAGGTAGATCTGGAGAAAACTGAATGGGGATAGAAAGGAATATACTTTTTTCTCAGCAGTACATGGCACATACACAAAAATTGACCATGTACTAGGGCATAAAAACCTCACAATCCAATGCAGAAAGGCAGAAATATTAAATGCATCCTTTTCAGATCATGATAAAAAAATTATATGTAATAAAGGGCCATGGAAAGATAGACTAAAAAATAATTGGAAACTAAATAATCTAATCCTAAAAAATGATTGGGTCAAACAACAAATCATAGAAACAATCAATAATTTCATTCAAGAGAATGACAATAATGAGACAACATACCAAAACCTATGGGATGCAGCAAAGCAGTTCTTAGGGGAAGTTTTATATCTCTAAATGCTTACATAAATAAAATAGAAAAAGAGGAGATTAATGAATTGGGCATACAACTAAAAAAACTAGAAAAAGAACAAATTAAAAATCCTCAACTAAACACCAAATTAGAAATATTGAAAACCAAAGGAAAAATTAAAAAATTGAAATTAAGAAAACTATTGAACTAATAAATAAAACTAAGAGCTGGTTTTATGAAAAAACCAATAAAATAGATAAGCCTTTGGTTAATTTAATTAAAAAAAGAAAGAAGAAAACCAAATTACTAGTATCAAGAATGAAAAGGGTGAAGCTACCACCAAGGAAGAGGAAATTAAAACAATAATTAGGAATTATTTTGCCCAACTATATGCCAACAAATTTGACAATCTTAGTGAAATGGATACATATTTACAAAAATATAAATTGCCCAGATTAACGAAGAGGAAGTAAAATACTTAAATAACCCCATCTCAGAAAAAGAAATTGAACAAGCCATTGATGAACTCCCTAGGAAAAAATCTCCAGGGCCAGATGGATTTACATGCAATTCTATCAAACATTTAAAGAACAATTAATTCCAATACTATATAGACTATTTGGGAAAATAGGTGAAGAAGGAGTCTTACCAAATTCTTTTTATGATACAAATATGGTGTTGATAACCTAAACCAGGAAGAGTCAAAATAGAGAAAGAAAATTATAGACCAATTTCTCTAATGAATATAGAGGCAAAAATTTTAAACAAAATACTAGCAAGTAGATTGCAGCAACTTATCACAAGAATAATACACTATGACCAGGTAGGATTTATACCAGGAATGCAGGGTTGGTTCAATATTAGGAAAACTATCAGCATCATTGAGCATATCAACACAAAACCAACAGAAACCACATGATCATCTCAATAGATGCAGAAAAAGCTTTTGATAAAATACAACACCCATTCCTATTAAAAACACTAGAAAGCATAGGTATAAATGGAGTCTTCCTTAAAATAATAAATAGCATATATCTAAAACCTTCAGCAAGCATTATATGTAATGGGGACAGGCTAGAAGCATTTCCAATAAGATCGGGGTGAAACAAGGATGTCCATTATCACCACTGTTATTCAATATTGTACTGGAAACTTAGCTTTAGCAATAAGAGAAGAAAAAGAAATTGAAGGCATTAGAATAGGCAAAGAAGAAACAAAGATATCACTCTTTGCAGATGACATGATGATATACTTAGAGAATCCTAGAGAATCAAGTAAAAAACTACTTGAAATAATAAACAACTTTAGCAAAGTTGCAGGCTATAAAATAAACCCACATAAATCATCAGCATTTCTATATATTACCAACAAAGCCCAACAGCAAGAGATAGAAAGAGAAATCCCATTTAAACTTACTGTAGACATTATAAAATATTTAGGAGTCTACCTCCTGAAACAAACCCAGGAACTCTGAACACAATTACAAAACACTTTTCACACAAATAAAATCAGATCTAAATAATTGGAAAAACATCAGTTGCTCATGGGTAGGCCGAGCTAATATAATAAAAATGACAATCCTACCTAAGCTAATTTACTTATTCAGTGCCATACCAATCAAACTACCAAAAATTATTTTATAGAGTTAGAAAAAATAATAACAAGATTCATTTGGAAAAACAAAAGGTCCAGAATATCAAAGGAACTAATGAAAAGAAATGCAGGGGAAGGTGGCCTAGCAATTCCAGATCTTAAATTGTATTATAAAGCAGCAATCATCAAAACTGCTTGGTACTGGCTAAGAAATAGGGAGGTGGATCAGTGGAATAGGTTAAATATGCAAGACACAGTAGTCAATGACTATAGTAATCTATTATTTGATAAACCCAAAGACCCCAGCTTCTGGGATAAGAACCCACTGTTTGAAAAAAACTGCTGGGAAAACTGGAAAAGAGTATGGCAGAAACTAGGCATAGACTCAAATCTCACACCACATATGAAAATAAAGTCAAAATGGGTTCATGATTTAGATATAAAGGCTGATACCATAAGTAAACTGGGAGAACAAGGAATAGTTTACCTATCAGATCTATGGAGAACAGAAGAATTCATGACCAAACAGGAGATAGAGAACATTATGGAATGCAAAATGGATCATTTTGATTACGTTAAATTGAAAAGTTTTTGCACAAACAAAGCCAATACAGCTAAGATTAGAAGGAAGGTAGAAAACTGGGAAAGAATTTTTACAACCAGTCTCTCTGATAAAGGCCTCATTTCTAAAATATATAGAGAATTAAGACAAATTTATAAGAACACAAGCCATTCCCCAATTGATAAATGGTCAAAGAATATAAAAAGGTAGTTTTCAGATAAAGTAAACAAAGCTATCTATAGTTATATGAAAAAATGTTCTAAATCACTGATTAGAGAAATGCAAATGAAACAACTCTGAGGTGCCATTCCACACTTATCAGATTGGCTAATACGCCAGAAAAAGAAAATGAGAAACGTTGGAGGGGATGTGGGAAAATTGAGACCCTGATGCACTGCTGGTGGATATGTGAACTGATTCAGCCATTCTGTAGAGCAATTTGGATCTTATATACAAAGGACTATAAAACCAAGCAGGCCCTTTCACCCAGCAATCCCACTACTAGGTCTGTATCCCAAAGAGATTAAAAAAAAAACAAAGGAAAAGGACCTATATATACAAAAATATTTATAGCAGCTCTTTTAGTGTTGGCAAAGAACTGGAAATTGAGGGGATGACCATCAGTTGAGGAATGGCTGAACAAGTTGTGGCATATGACTGTGATGGAATACTATTATGCTGTGAGAAATGATGAACAGGATCCTTTCTGAAAAACACCTGGAAAGACTTACATGAACTGATGCAAAGTGAAATAAGCATTACCAGGAGAACATTGTACACAGTAACAACAATATTGTACAATGATCAACTGTGAATGACTTCTCAGCAGTGCAGTGATCCAAGAGAATTCTGAAGGACTTATGATGAAAAATGCTATCTATCCCCAGAGGGAAAAAAATGGAGTCGTCTGAATGTAGATCAAAGAATACTTTTCTTCTACTTTCTTTATTTTTCTGGGGTTTTTTTAATCTGCGTTTTCTTTCACAACCCAACAAAAATAGAAATGTTTTGTGTGACTGCACATGTATAACCTATATCAAATTGCTTGCCTTCTCAATGAGGGAGGAGGAGACGGAGGGAGAAAGAGAATCTGAAACTCAAATTTTTTAAAAAATTAAATTAAAAATTGTTTTTGCAAGCCATTAGGGAAAAATAAATTACTAAATATTTTTTTAAATAAGTCTACCCTATTAAACATATAAATCTGCCTCTTCCCTCTAATCACAGGCACCATTATGATCTCCATATCCTATATCAATCATTCTTGAAGATGCTGAGGGTGGAAGGAATTATTAAAGCCCTCTTTTCTACACACACACACACACACACACACACATCCTTCATGCCAATAGCTAGCAGGTAACAAGGTCAATGATAAAAATGACAACATTGCCAACTATTTTCCTAAATGCTGGCTATTACCCAAAAACAAGGTAACATGAGGAATTAATGGCAGAGTTAAGACTAAAATTCATATCTCCTGTATCCTAGCCTAATGTTCTTTCATAATAGCAGGCTGTCCCCTCACGTTGTTGTTGTTTGGAGGCAACCAGCATTAATTGACTTGCCCAGGGTCACACAGCTAGTAAGTGAGGCCAAATTTGAACTCAGGTCCTCCTGACTGTGGAGCTGGTGCTCTATCCATTGGGCCACCTAGCTGCCCCCCGCCTCCTCATTTTGAGAAAATTAAAATGGTTTTCGTTTTAATGATAGTCACAGCCCTTGCTAAATGCTCATACAGTTTAATAGAGTTAAAGAAAGTAATCATGCTTATCTTTTTTTTTTTTTTCCTTCTTAGGCTGTGAGGTTGAAATCCTGGGTGTCAGACCTTCTTACTGTCTAGAATATAAAAATGTCCCAACGGATACTGATTTCGCCAATGCAGTCAGTAACGCTCTTGACTCTTTCAAGTAAGTGCCCCCAATTCTAAGGTACACACCATGGCCCATCCTTATTTTCAGCACCTACAATGAAAGGAGCTCAGCACAAGATCAGACTTGTGCAGATAAAGAGTTGTGTAGGAGAAGGCAATGAACTCTTGAAGTCAACAAGCATTTATTAAGTGTCTATCATGTGCCCAGCACTGTGCTCCTGCTCTTAAGGAGCTCACAGTTTAATGAGAGACATGACATGCAAAAAACCATGTACAAGTATGATACATTCAGGATAAATTAGAAATAATCTCAGAAGGAAGGCACTAAGATTAAGGAAGATTAAGGATTGGGAAAGATTTCTTCTTGGAGAAGGTGGTACTTTCAGTGAGAAGTCTTTCTCATTTCCCTCTCAATTCCAGTGCTTTCCCTCTGTTAATTATTTCGTATTTATCCTGTATATTTGTATATATTTGTTTGCGTATTGTCTCCTCCATTAAATTGTTAGCTCTTTTAGGGCAGGGACTATCTTTCGCCACTTTTTTGTATCTGCAGCATTCAGAATAATGCCTGGCACGTAGTAGGTGATTAATACGTGTTTACTGATTGATTGACTGATTCATTTGAAGGAAGCCAGGGAAGACAGGAAGCAGAGAGGGCAGCTTGAAGTGACAGCTGTTCCTGTAAATAAATGAGGACAAATAGAATCAGATTAGGATGGCCTTAGTAAATTCACTTAAAACGTAGACAAGGTAAAAGATCAGGAGAAAGACAGATAGACAAGATCTATGGGTGCCTGAGTTTCCTCATATACGTGATAGGAAGGAACAGGAAGCAGGGATGCTGAACAGTTAATTCTGTTCCTACGCCTACAGTTGTCTCTTCTAACCCTGCCAGGGTTATTGGGAAATGATTAGAATACTGTCATAGAGCCAAAGTGGGAACAAGAGGTTTTCTTAGAAACATCTAGTCTCTGGTTTTTAAGATATCACAACTCCCAAGCACAGGACCCAGAGTATTCACCACCATACCTGGTGAAGTATAGTCCCAAGTTTGTTTTCTTTTTTTTTTTTTTTTTCGGGGCAGGGGAGGCCAGGTATTACACTGAAAGTGATTTTCGTGATCATTCACTGAAGTCCTCGTCCGATGCCTTTTGGCAGTATTGATATGACCCTGGGATTTTGAGGGCTATGCCTTCCAGGGGAGAAAGGCTCTGGCAGATTCTACCAACCTTGAAGGGCTTCAGATACTAACACTGGTGGCAGACCATGTGTCCATCATCCGAGTACCAGCCTGGCTAAATTTAAAAAGTGTCATTGTCAAAAGGTGGGCCACCAGATAGAGGATACTTTTGACTATAGCCACTTGGCACATGGTAGATTGATTATAAGTCATATTAGTGGGGAGGGGCTTAGCTCAGTAGCCTGTCTAAATTGAGAACCAGGCATAAAGCAGAACCAGAAAGAGAGATGAAGTTAGTGACCTCTCTTAGACCCTTTGACTACATATCAACCTATGGCCACAAGTGAGATCGTCTGGAATGCAATAGCCCCACAATTCTTGATAAATGTCTACTAACAGCCACCAAAATCTAGAGAAGTCCAGTGCTCAAAAGTTCTCTGTAAAAGACCAGTTAAGGTATGCTTCTATGTCTTCTGGCTTATTGCTGAAATACCGTGTAACTCATGTTTGATCAAAGTATCTACAGCAGAGACACTTGTCCATTGGTAGTTTTGGAACAGCTTCCTCTGGCCAATCCATCTTCTGACCAGTTTTTCCTCTTGTTCTTCTGTTCTTTTTCCAAAGATGGTAAGGTCATTCAAGAACAGCTACAATTTCAGAGAGTTCATGTCTCTAACCTACCTTTTCCAAAAAACTATTGAAGGGTGGCAAGTGGGCACTCCTGAGTGTATACAGGCAAACTGATAGAATCCATGTGGGCAGAGAGTGGCTAAATTGTTCTCCACTGCCTTAAAATTCTGGTAGCATGCCCTCTATCAGTTCATTATTGAAAGTCGTTGAATGCCTGGTGGACAGCCCAAGGCATCTTGAACACCTGGCATACTGTAATTGTCCACTTAAGTTCTCTTGCTCAAAGTCCAATTGTCTATGGGGAATGGTGAGGGAAACAAGAATTAAGTGCCTACTATGTGCCAGGCACTGTGCTATGTGATTTATAAATATTCTCTCATATGACCCTCACAACAACCCAGGAAGGTAGATACTATTATTATCCCCCATTTTACAGTTGAGGAAACTGAGGCAGATAGCAGTTAAGTGATTTGCCCAGGGTCAAACAGCGAGTATCTGAGGTCAGATCTTAACTCAAATCTTCCTGACTCCAGGCCCAGAACCCTATTTACTTCACCACCTAGCTGCCTATTCATATTTTATTTGGTGATTCTTCTTCCACCCCATGATGATAGGTAGATGTTGCTGGATGCTGTGTGGATATCAATTATCAGCAGTTCTTTCAGATGGTTTCTGAGATCTTCCATCACTGACAGGGGGATCTTCTGTTATTGCTGAGGTAATGAGCTGGATTTTATGGGTTGTTTCTTGGACACATTCCACATTACACTTGTCCAATGAGAAGACACTTGTCCTCCTTCTATACTTCTATCCCTCCCTCTCCTATTCTTCATGAAGGTACCAGGGAATAGTCAGTTTACTATGGATCTATTCCTGAGCTGGAGAAAACAGTAAGTCTTGTGAGGTTCTCTAGAATGACTTATTTTCGATGATCTTCTTTTCAGTTCTTGCATAGGGTAGATACATAGATGTGCAAGTTTCGCTGTCTAGCTATCAAGTCCCAGATTTCTTCTTATGGTATTCTGCTAATGTCTAAAATAGTCTGGAAATGGTCCCGGTCAATGGTAGGACTCCAGAGATGTTCACTACATCTGGACCTCTCAAAGCCAAAGCATCTACATTCCTGTTGACAAGAACTTCCATATAATCTTGAGATTCATGCTGATATAGCCCAAATCTGGATGATTCTTGTTACCCACAGAGCCTTGAATTTTCATAGAATTTAAAGTTTTTTTTTTTCTCTGAATGTCTTCTCTTGTAGAACAATTGGAATACAATAGACCTTTGAGAGCTACTGTCCAGCACAATAGGACACTTTACATCTTTGACCTTCAGAATTACTTCTGCATGAAGACCACTGGTGATAGATAGCATCAGGCTTCCCCTTATCTTCAGGGTCCTAATAATCTGTCCGTGGCTTAATTCTCATTTCTCAAAGCAAGTCTAGTGAGCATCAACTTCTGCTAAACCAGGTCTCCATTATCCTCTCAAATGCAATCCAGCATGCACTTGTCCATCCAGACCACAGCCATGGTAGAAAATAGGTCCACCCCTTTTCTGGTTCTCTGTTGGTGACATCTTTACATGACTGTTATGACCTCTTATCTACTGATCTGTTGCTCCTCCAGGTAGAATGGTTCTTGCAGTACTTACTTTATTTTGCAGTGCAATATGTGCAAATCAATTTGTAAACTCTAAAATGCTATATAAATACAGATTATAGTTTTTATTGTATTTTAATGCCAGAAAATTCTACTTTCTATGGTTCATAGGCAGGAATGCTGGACTTAGCATTAGGAGAAATCTTGATACTGACCATAGACAAATCTCTTCAGCCTCAGTTTCCTCATCTATAAAATAGGGATAATAATATCTATATTACTTTCTGTTCAGAGTTGTTGTAAGGATCAGTTGAGATAATTATGTAATGCACTTTGCAAACCTCAAAGCACCATTATGAATATAATAATAACAATATTTATAATTAGTGGTAAATCAAGTTGTTACAGTAAAAGCTCAAAACCTCTTGTGGGTAATAATAATAAAAATGATAGTTGTTCACATTGATATGGAACTTATATAAAGTACTTTTCTTACGACACCCACATAAGTGATAGATTGGGCAAGTATTATTATCTCTATTTTTATGTATGAGGCTCAGTGGAGCATAGGTAGGTAAGTTATGGTCGGAACATAAATCCAGAAGCTTCTGGGTCCTAAGACCAATGCTCTTTCTGCTGTACCCTATTACATAGGAAGCACGTTTTTTAAATATATGGGGACGCATTTTCAAGCCTGTCCTTGGGCATACAAATGCCTCAATGGAAAGAGGGCTTATTTTGGAAGCTCTGGATTCAAATCCCAGCTTTGTGCAACCTAGGGCGAGTCACTTAACCTTCTCTGGCCTCAGTTTCCTAAACTATAAGATGAGGTTCAACTAAATGGCCTCCAAGGCTCTTTCCAGTTCTAAACATAGGTTCCTACGACCCTTGCATGCAGTGGTTGCTTAATAAATGCTTGTTGACCTGAATTGAGTGAGTTCGCAGCTCTCCAGTTCCGAGACTTTGTCCCAGTCTGCTGCATGTACGCAGTAGTTTCTTGAAGCTCGCTCTGGCTGGCGCAGACTGAGATGGCCTGTCTAATCAAGATCCCGGGTGTCTGGGAATGTTTTGATGCTGTGTTCTGTGGCTCTGCTTTCCATCACTGCCACCAGGAAGTGATTGGAAGCAGCTGGTCCCGGGGCTGCTGGCTGAGTTCCGCCCTTGGCTTCCTTCAACAGCTGTTCCCTACACTGCTGTGTCACTCTGTGGGGGAACAGCCTACCTGCTTCCTACAGCTGTTCTGTCCAAGCCCCTGACAGAAAGAGCTTTCTCCTCTTCACAAAGAGAGTGAGCGAGAGGCTTGGTGGAGTCATTTCATTATTGAGGCTGTTTAGCTGATGTAGAATGTAGCAGCCTGCCTAAGAATGAGGCCCCACATCTTATTAGCCTCATTTGCCAGATAAAAGGGTCAGTCAAGGTGATGTCCAAGGTCCTTTTAGGTCCTGAGTTTCTGGTGATAAGTAATTCTATCAAGGAAGCTAGATGATGCAGTGGATAGAGCGGTGAGCCTAGAGTCAGGAAGACCCACCTTCATGAGTTGAAATCCAGCCTCAGACAGTTACTAGCCATGTCACCTTGGGTAAGTCACTTTACTATGTTTGCCTCAGTTTCCTCATCTGTAAAATG